TTGACCATCTCTTGAAATGGGGAGGGTACATCATCCGCTTCAACGAGAGTAGAAGCAGCTATAACTTCTACTGGCCCTAAGTGTTTCCCGAGCTGGAGCTCGAAGAGGCCYCAGATTGAGAAGAAAAGAACCCACCCTTAGGAGGTGTGTGACCATTCTCACCGCAGTTAATACAAGCACCACGAGACCAACGGTCCCGCCACACTTCTTGATYCAGACTTGCTCTAACCCAARCAGTTATTTTGTTTGGGTTAGCGGCCTGCCCCTGACTCCTTTGTTGACCGCCCTTGCCGCGGCCAGCGGCCTTAGTCTTGCCTACGGCGGCGAGGTTGCTACCCTCATCACTCTCCTCGCCGTCAAACTCTGAACCCACCACAAGATCGAAAACATCATCGATCTCGGTTTGATTCCCATCGGAATCAACCATAATCAATCGGCTACCCTTCTTTTTCCACTCTTGTGAAGTCTTTTTCTTTCTCCCATCCGTAGAAGGGGTTTGAGCTCCACCCAGCGTAGCCTTTAAGTCTAGGGCCTTCTTGCTGAATGACTCAAAAGTGTGATACTCTCTGCGAGCCTCGTTGGCTAATAAATTTGTAATGTCTGTGGGAAGACATCTAAGGAACATGGTCAGCAAGACCTGTGGATTGTACTCCGCTCCCGGAACGACGATCAGGCGCTCTATGATTGTGGTGAGTTCCCACACAGACTTGTAATTTCTAGTATCAAGTTTCAAGAGTCCATCAGTGGCAATCTGTGCCTGCTGAGGGTTGTGCCAATGAGCCTCCACTAAGTCCATAAAGCTTTCTAATGTGTGGGTCTGCGCCCAATCATGCATGTTCTTGCCAAAGTCCTTTGAAGCTACCAATCCGTTTAGCCAATGGGCTGTTGAACCCTATAAGTAGGATGCAACAGTAATCACCTCCTCTTCTACCAATGCCCTTTTGGCCCTCACCCACACAGGCACCGTTCTCAACCATGCGTCGAGAGCCTCATCCTTCTCGTCTCCTGAGAAGGTTGCAGGTGGGTTCAGTAGGGTCTTGGGATACCAAGGATATTGTTGTCCCGCTTGCGAGACAGGTGGCGACTGTGGTGTAGCAACAGTCGCTTGATCAGAAGATGAAGAAGCAACAGTCTGAGATAGAGCTATTGTTGATGACACACTTGGTGGTGGTCCTGACTGAGTGGCATAGACGGTTGTCCTCACTGAGAGTGGCAGCGATGGTAAAGTTGCTGGCCGGATCCCTGGCTTATGAGCGCTTGCAGAATCTGGTCTAGAGTATCTTGCATTGCGTCCATTTTGCTATCTATGTACGCATGCATTAATATGACACTTGCCTTCAGGATCTTTCCTGGAGTGTTAAGTGCGGACTAATGCCTCTAGCACAGCCATGTCTGCCTCCCTGCCCTCTAATTTGACACTTCTTTCCTTGATCTCTTTCTCTCTTTTAGTAGCCTGTCTAAGTTCCTCCTCTAACCTTAAACGGATCCTCTCTACTTGCTGGAGCTCCATCTGCTCCCGGGTGCGTGGAGGCAGCGAGCTGAACTGCGAACCCGCCATTTGACTAGTGCCAACCCCTGACGTACTGGAGATTGACTGTGAACTGGTCGGCATGCCTAGCCCTTGACCAGTTGAGTTCGCAGCCGATGCTGCGGAAGTAGTCATTGCTACAGCTCTAGCTGCTTCCCTTACAACCTCAAGATTACGGACCCTAGCTTCAACCCTTAATTTTCTCTCTTTTCCCGGTTGTAGGGTCTGGAATACTCTAGGGATTCTAAGGGATGATAACCTTGTTAACCTCCTGTCGTCATTTGCACCCTCACAACCCTCTGATCCACTCATAGGTTAGGTAGACATTGTCTGCACTAATGTCCTCGCTGGAACCTACCGCAGCATGCGTCTGACCGGATCTAAAAATAAATAATTAAAATAAATGCTCGGCGAGTTACCTAGTCTACTACTCAAGCGGCATCAACAGCATCTACACAAACTGTACACATTGTCTAACTCTATTCAGATTAGTCTGCACAGAAGATTTGAGGAGAACTGACTATGGTAGATTACAGTCCTACTCTAGTCTCTCTGGTAGGTGTCAGCAGTCTGTCAAGCAACTAATAAAAATAAAAACTTAGACAAGTGTGAGCAGACGTATGCACAATGGATATGTCAGTGATGTACAGTTGAGTTCACAATAGGAATCATCTTCCCCTGTATCCAACGTACCTGTGAGCATCATCAAGCTGCGGTGTCTAAGGTGTGCAACCACGGCCCACCCCTGTGCCCAAGAAGTATGCTTATGACCAGCCTGCCCCTTTGTTTACCCTCACGTGCAACAAGCCTTACGTCTGACTGATCTGGCTGATCAGGAGGAATTATAGGATAGCCCCCATCTCCTCAGGAATTATTTAACGTCACAATCAGGATGACGATCACAGCCAGTGGACAGATCAGACCCCAACCAGAAATGTTTATAGACGGTCTGGGAGCGTCTCAATAGGACTGGTCAGTCCGCACACCCCTTCTATCAGCGCAGCAAAGAGCCTCAATGGACAAAGCAGCCATCGCATGCGTGTACCAATCCCATTGGGTTGGCATGGTGACCGTGACCCACGTGCTTCGACCAGGGCCCTTCAAAGGCACCGCCCTCTCCTGCCAGATGCGCCACCGGGAAGAATGTCGTCTCTCAAGATAGAGTGCACACGACTCCTCACCAAAGAGAGGACACTCAAGTTGGACTCACTTCCTCATGATAAGAAGAGATTGAGAAGGTAGATAAGGAATGGGAACAACGTACCTGGAGATAGCTTCCCCCAACCACAGATTTCTCACCAATTGGGCTGATGTGCATTTCGATGACCGGTCAATGGCCTCGGTACCACCCACAACGCAATGCAGTGCCACCTCAGCCAAAATGCCACGTCAGCATACTCTCATCATCACACATACACCCGCTGTCGCCACAGCTCCCACGCTGTCGCCACAGCCTTCCAGCGGCTGGCCTCTCTACCTAGGCCCCGCTAGGCAACCAGCGGCAAAGTATTCTCACTGCACATGAAGCATCCTCAGCGCACCAAGTTACAATGTCACCGGTGTCAGGTAAGCGGTGATCATCAACCAGCTCCGATACCAAATTGCAAGGAATATGAGTGTGAGTGATATACATAAAACCAAGTTCGAAATCACACAGCTGATCAAGTAGTAGTATGATAGTGTCCCAAGTAGAGAGTACAAATGCACCGAGAAAACCATCCATAAAGAGCAATACAATGAAGTATTGAGCCAATGTCCAAGCCCGTAGGCCACACCAACACAGTATCCAGAGTCGCTCTCTTTGTCTGGCGCACAGCGCCCAGCCTACTCTACCATACTATCCTACTCTACAGCTGGTTCACACAACAGGATCACTTCGGCTTACGAAGACCAATGTACATGACTGTCCACACCATCGGCGACCTCTCTTCATGTACCAGGTACGTATCTCGTCACCCTCAATCAGACCTTGATTATCCCACACAGCGCCTCACTCCCTGAAGACCACCCGATCATCCGCTGTAACCCCTGGTGCTTAGCAGCCCGGCTATGGCCGCCTGCGCCCCGCTGTTCAAAAATAAATAAATAAATAAAAACTAAAAAAATAATAAAATAATGAAATTAAAAAAAAAATGGCTTTGGAATTTCAGAGGGGTGTTGCCATCTTCCCACATCGTTTTGGGGGTATTTTACTTTGATTTTAGCATATACGAGAGGTTTCAGCTTTTCAGGGATACAAATTTTCCAGGTCCTAAAAAGAAAATACAGGTACGAAATTCAATGAATACGAAGAATAGACGACGGGGAAAAAAAAAATCAGGAACATAGATTGCGTGCTGATCTTTTTTGCGGAAAACGAAAAAAAAATACAGGTACGAAATTCAATGAATACGAAGAATAGAAGACGGGGAAAAAAAAAATCAGGAACATAGATTGCGTGCTGATCTTTTTTGCGGAAAACGAAAATATATTCCCGGCGGTGAATTCCATTTACTCTTCGTGCGGGGCGCTCAAGCACAAGCGAGTACAAAGGCTAAGTGTCTGTCCGTTAAAAAAGCGTTGAGAGACAGCAACCCCATGAGATGGAGAACCAGCGAGCGCAAACAGAAGAAAGAAAGGCGCATACCAATTGGTGGGAAGAGCAAAGCATACACTCCAAGGGAACCAACAACTGGCGCTACGCACAGACGCACTCCAATCATGACAGTTTGTGGGAGGACACGGAAACACGTTGATGCAGGAGAACAATGCACCGATTTCAAGAAGGCTAACATATGCAGGAATTCATTGGAAAAGACGATTCTTCTGTACGAGAAGAGATCATATTCACGCTAATATCGCGCTTCGTGCCTCCACGGTCGAGATACTCCTGTGGGTGTAGACTAGCACTCTGAAGACGTGCGGCACACACGAATACATGGAGCAAGCGCAAGCCAGCAAGCGAACAAAAGTGAACACAGAGAGAGAGAGAGAGAGAGAGAGAGAGAGAGAGAGAGAGAGAGAGAGAGAGAGAGAGAGAGAGCACTAAGTAGTATGCCTTGTTGTTCGCTACGCCCGTCTCCTTCATCTTTACGCAACAGTTCTCGCACTATATGCCTAGATGCCAGCCATTAGAAACTAAATGACGTGGAAACTCGCTCGCCGGCCAGACATTAAATACGTACTCTACATATAATTATAATGATCGTTGACTGACCAGTTCCACAACTGGGTAGGCTTCCTATTGAGCTCCATCAGCAAAGTGCAGTTGTGCACACACACGTCCGATCGCCTGCGTCGGTGATGTCGCCAGTTCTTAGCTGACCACGCTCAGTGACGCGCCCCGGACAATGCAATGCAGCTGCGGACCGATAAATTAATCCACTGATCTCCAAGCTGAGCCCCTCCCGGTCGCTCATTCTGCTTCTCTCCAAGTAGCTTGCTGATGTCGAACGACCGCCCCCCCCTGTTGTTGACGCCTGGTTAAATCAGCTTAGGTCATGCTCACATTACGACTTTCTTCTGAACTGGATCTGGGTGCATTTGCCGCCAGATGCTCCAGAAACGGTTTAATACGAGTATGTCCTTAGCACTTCTTCCAGAGCAGACCAAAACCGGCACTGGTGACGGTGATCGAGCCCTTGTTTTTTAGGACGACCAAGGCCTTGTTGTTCTTCTCCGGCGGGGGTGGGGGCACTACTGTTGCCTCGAAAAAGACATTGAGCGACGCCGACTCACTGCCACACGGTGCATAGGCAAAGGTTCCGAAGCTGTCGGAGAACTCAAAGTTGCCTTCGACAGGAGGAGGCAAGCTCCGGGAGGATCTGACTGTCCCTGGGAAACCCACGAAGTAGTACCCGGCTCTCAGTCCACCCTTGACGACTTCCCCGAACTGGGCGGACCCTCGGAATGCCACATTCTTCACACTAAACGTGAACCCAGCAGGATAGCTCAGGCTGACGCCCACATGGCAGCTTTTCCGCCGGTCAGCTGGACGTCCTGGGGTGAACACCGTGAACTTCGTGAAACCCAAACTGGAAATTCCGTTGGGGGAGATTGCGAGATCGAGACTTCCAGGCGGACAGCCATCGCCAGCGTAGGTCAAGCCCTCGATCTTTACCGTACCAGGTGGCGGACTTTGAGCAAGTCCAGGAACGGCAAGCTGGAGAAGCCCCAGGAACAGCACGACCACCATCGCCGCCATCGTAGACACGGACTCGAAAACCGTGTGCCTGATCCTCTTCGTCCACGCCTTTCGCCTGACCTTGCTCTTGTCTCCGCGCGCCCAGCAACAGATGAGCTCTTCCGGCGATGGCAGCAGATACCGCCCTCCCCAATTCGCCGCTCCCGGAGCTGTTCGCATGGAGTCGCCCCTTCAAGTTGAGCTCCCTCTCCTCGGCTGACATGCCGTGGAAGAAGAGAGAGCCGACGCCGCTTCTCGGAGCTCCCGCCTGCGATCCCCAGACACCGCCCACGATCAGTAAGCAGATCGCAGCGCACTGTACGGAGAGTGCCCGTTCATGCGCCTTTATACAGAGCCGGACGTGAAGTCTGCCTGTGTCCCCCAGCACAGCGCATCAACATCACACAAAAGCATGCAACTGCTTTTTTAATAGCAAAAATATTGCTGTTTCGAAGTTTGGCAGCAAAAATGCCGTCCGTTCGAAATTTCCTTTGCAAAAATAGGGGCTTCGTTGCAGCTTTATGGGGTTCCCATAGTTTGCCAGCAAAAATACCGCGTTTTGCCCGGTTTCACAGCGAAGGACCCCTAGGCCTCTGGCCTCAGGGACTCAGGGACTCAGCGTTCTGGCCTCAGGCAATCAGCGTTGTGTTTTTTTTTTGTTTTTTTTTTGTTTTTTTTTTGTTTTTTTTTTGTT